TCTGTCATTTCAGGTTGTATCCAGACAGAAATAGAGCAGCACAGGAGTGCATTCATTATCTGTCTCCAAAGAGCAGAGCAAAAAGCCTCTAACATCTCTCCAGACAGCATGGCACAGTGCATGATGAGTACAAGTTTAAGGGAAAATAGTCATAGAATAGAATTTTTAAGAACTACTATGTAAATATGACCCAGAGCACTGGGCTTATAGTCAGAAAGATCTGAGTTCAAATCTTCCCTTAGACATTTACTAGCTATGTGACTCTGGATAAGTCAATCTCTTTGATTGTCAATTTTCTCCTATGTAAAATAAGCATATTAGACTTGATGGCTTCTAAGGTCCCATCAGCTTTAAACCTAGATTCCTATGATGTGGGTTGCACAGCCTAGATTGTTTGGGAGTATAGGAGAGGTGATACATAGCTCTCTTTTATTATTGTTATCACTCCAGAAACTCTGAAGAAATTTTCTGAATCAGCTTGGGTGTATGGCTTGTGTCCAGGCTAAGCCAAAAGAGAGGAATAGGGTTCCCAATTCTTGCATATATGCTCAATGTACAATTTGAAAACTGGTCATGGAATAGTCTTTATTCCATTAACCATAGAAAATATATGATATAAAGATCCAATAGGTCCTAAGAAAATATAGAAACATAAAGGACTCGAATAAGGACCATTAGGCAATCCACCATTAAGAATTAATTAAGCACCTATTGTGTAGCAGACACCGTGCTAGGTTCCAGAGAGACAAAGATAGAAGGTCAAAAAACCTTGAGGGGGTGGTGCCCAACAAGTACTCACATTGACCTTGGACCTGTACTGTTTAAGTAGCATTCAGGTTTGTGTTGCTTTCCGAGTGGGTTGCTGAGCTGACATAGGATCTATATGGCCTCTCCTCTCTTTACTCTAGAGAGAATGATACATTAAGATGCCTTTTTCTCCCTCTCTAGAAAGTTAGGAACTCAAACTCTCAAATTCAATAATGCTTGATCTTGAAATTTTTCAGGAGGCAATTCCCAAAGCTAATTTTGTCCAGGAAATCTCCTTTCTCTGGGTAAAAGGTTAGCTTGAGATCATACTGCCTAGGGAAGTCAAAATCCCCCCTCTCTATCTCCTCCCTACCCCAAGAAAAGGCATTGAGGTTTAAGAACACAATTATTAAACATCCCTCTCAGATGTGTTCAAATATATTTGTGATTGCTATGAACTTCTAATGTCATCATTATTAGCCCTGGTGAAGTAAGGGAGAACCCTTTTCCCCTTCCCCTTTCCTTTGCTTTATCCTGGAAGAAAGTGGAGAGGGAGCCCTAGGGAACAGAGAACGGGAACATCTGCCTGCCATTTGTAAACCACTGGGTGCACTGACTTTCTCAGGAAAGCTCTAATGGCACAGGTCCCATGAAATGTGCCCAGTAGGCAAATCTCATTAATTTGGTTGAGGGAGTCATCCAACTGATGAGGCTTACCCTGATAAACATCCCATATAATAATAATAATTATTAACAATAATGTATATAGTGATTTAAAGTTTGAAAGGCATTTTACCAATATATTTATTTAGTTATCATACAGATTTTACACCAGCCTAATTTGGACTAATTTGTACATCATTTCTGTTTTATTTGAAGTATACATGTTCACACAAGAGGCCATATAATATCTGTTTCTGGAAGTCCGTAGTGATAATGCCCCTTGTGTCAACTAGCAGTTTAGGAAAGAGCCCAGAATTACCTAAATTCTTTTTATATTAGTACAATGAGTTTATCAGATTAGCTAATTTTCATCCTGGGGGGCTCTGAGCCTGGTCCTGAGGAGATGAAGGGACAGGAAGAGGCAGAGGTGAGAGCTTTGTCCAGAAGGCATAGTGCCTACCATGTGTCATGTACTGTGCTTAACGGTGTGCATGGCCTTAGCAGAGTTAGGGGGGAGGTATTGCCAAACAAGTACAGTAACCAAGGAGAGGGATCCCTAAAAAGTTGCCCAGTAAGGTCTTTTTTGTGTGAAGAATAGAGGGGTGGGAGGGGAACCTTTAGATTTATAGGCCTGAGTTCTATTCACATTTATGCTAATAGTTTTTAATTCTCATCTAGTATTTTTAAAAGATGAGTTGTCAGATATGGATTTTTTCATTTACCCTTTTAAAAAAATTTTATTACTTTATTTCAGAATATCTGCTCCTCCTCCCCCTCAAAAAAATATCCAAAGCCTCCCCTTACATCAAAGATTAAAACAAAAAAACCGTGCAGCAAAACCAGCCAATCCATTGACAGTATTTGACAACATACCACATCCCATGGTTCCATTCCTCTTCAATGGAAGAAAGGAGATGCATTTTAGCACCTCTTCTGTAGGGGACCAAAATTGGTCAGTATAAATTTTACATTTTTATTGTTCTTTACATTACCGTATTCTATGTATTACTGTAGTCATTGTATATATTGTTTGCCTAGTTCTGCTTACTTCATACCATATCACTTCACATGTCTTCCCATGCATCTCTGGATTCTTCCTTATTTCTTATGGTGCAGTAATATTCCATCATATCTGTAACACAGTTTGTTGAGGCAATTCCAATCTACAGGCCACTACTTTGTTTCCAATTCTTTACTATCACGAAAAGTTTCATCATGAATATTTGGTAGATGGGTCCTTTATTTATGTCTTGGACCTCCTTGAAGTATATACCTTGCAATGGGTTCTCTGACTCAAAAGTTATGTACACTTTGTTATTGCCTTTTTTTTTTCCTTAAGTCCAAATTGTTTTCTAGAATGGCTGGATTTATTCACAGTTCCACCAACAGTCAATTAGTGTGATTATCTTCCCACATCCCATCTAGAACTGACTATTTCCATCTTTTGTCACCTTGGCCAATTTTCTAGATGCAAGGTAAAACATTAGAGTTGTTTCAATTTTCATTTCTCTTATTGTGAAATATTCAGAATAGTCTTTCTTATGATTGTTAATCGTTTATAATACTTTTGAGAACTGTTTGTTCCTATCCCTTGACCACTTATCTATAAGGAAATGGTTCTTGGTCTTTCTTATACATTTATACAAATTCCCCATATATCTTCAATATCAGACCTTTATCAGAAGTACTAATTTCACAAAATGTTCCCCAAAAGGTGAATTCCCTTAATTAAATTGAATTTGTTCTTGCAAATTGAAATTGCCTATTTAATTTTTTGCAATCTGTACTATACCTTGATTCATTAACTAAGCCATAGTTATGAAAGGTGGACAGTTAGATGGCACAGTGGATGGAGCGCTGGGCCTGAAATCAGGAAGGCTCATCTTTGTGATTTCAAATCTGGCCTTAGATACTTACTAACTGTGTGACCCTGGGCAAGTCACTTCACCCTGTTTGCCTCAGTTTCCTCATCTGTAAAATGAGCTGGAAAAGGAAATGGCAAGCCACTTCAGTATCTTTTCCAAGAAAACCCCAAATGGGGTCACAAAGAGTCAGACACAACTGAAACTACCAAACAAGCAAGCTATGGAAGGTGTCTCCATCATCTTCCTTCATTTGTAGAAACTATTCATTTACTTTGGCAAAAAGAGCTACATACCACACTCTGACCCCCCAACTCCAACCCATGTGGTAGAAAAAGTACTAGACTTAAAATTGGAAGACTCTGGGCAGTTAGGTGGTGTAGTGGATAGAGCACCGACCCTGAAGTCAGAAGGACCTCAGTTCAAATCCGGCCTCAGACACATGATATTCACTAGCTGCGTGACCCTGGGCAAGTCACGTAACCCTGATTGCCTTGCCAAAAAAAAAGAAATAGATAAAATCAGAAGACTAACTCTAAACTTAATAGTAATGTGATCTTAAATTTGAACCAAAATCCTTTAACTTCATATCCAATATTCTTACCATCACACCTTTCATACAGTTGCTGTGCAGATTAAACAAGACAATGTATGTGAATGTGCTTAGTAATTATACCAAAACATAAACAAATGTAAGGTGGGAAGATACTGATCATGACATACATTGTTAGACCAGGACCTTAATTCCCTGCTTCTGATTTCTGATACCCTGTTGGTAAAATAAGCCGATTTTAACTGACTTTCTAGTCAAAGCCTAAGCCATTTCCCTTTCTCACTCATCCCATCTTTTATCTCTGTGTATCTTTGGCATGAGGGTTACTTGTGTCATTCTTTTCATAACTTGAGAGTTCACACAACGGAGGTCTCACCTCTTTCCATTGTAGTTCTCACAGGACTATGATTTCATGGTGTTCAGCCTCATTGTAGGACATGAATTTTAATTAGATCAATAAGCATATATTTAGTACCTACTATGTGAATTTGTCTTGACTTCCTGTTAAATCGATGGGGTTCCCAAACCTGTATGTAGTCGGGTTTGGAACACTATTAAACTTGAACTAAAATTGGAATATTAAAAAGAAAATTTTTCTCAGTCCCTTTCTCTATTCTTGTCTTCTCTAGTCTATAATCAAAGTGATCAATTGCCTTTACTTTCAGTTCAGCCTGTATAGATTAAAACCGAGTCTAAGAGCATGCTTAGATTTTTCTATCAAGAGATTTCTGAAAACAAAATGTTAAATCTCTGTTCTTATGTACTAAAAAAAACTCCCTTGTTTCCTTTTTTTTTTTTAAACATGTTCATATTTGTTCTTTGTGGGGCTTTAGCTGGCTGTCATCTCCTCCCTCATGTCAAACATTCAACCCAATATGTATATGAAACACTCATCTCCATATTTTTTAACCCTATACTTCCTAGTTGATCACTGTGTTTGGACCTCCCATAATCCCAGGGTCTGATAAATGTTGTACTTGTATATTCTGTGTCACATGTTTTATGTTTTGACTTCGTATAAGCCCCCTTTATGAAATTTCTGGCCTTTTGGATTCAAACCAAGACTGTCTCCCCAGTTGGCCTCTAGGAGGACTCTATCCTTGGATGAATGCTCACTTGAATTTTGTGAATGATTTCATGCTCCTTTTGTAATGGCTTCTTTTGTAATTTTACAGAGTACCAAGCTGCAATTTTACACTTGAAGAGGGAACACAAAGAAGAAATTGAAAACCTTCAGGTACACCTCTTTAGTCCTACTGGTTATAGGAAACTGATCTGTTTCTCTCAAATACTGAAGTAAATCTTACCCTTCAATGAAATCTTTAAATAGGCAACTTTCTCTGGCAATACAGGCTATGGAAATACCCACGCAAACATTTAATCCTTGTTTTTTTGGAAAACCCCTCAAAAGAGTGGGAAGAGAAATGTGAAAGTCAGTGGAAGATTGTTGTTATTTAAATGGAAACTGTAACTTAGGATGCATGTGCCATTAAAATTTCACCATGTAAGAATTATTTCCAGCTGGTTTGCAGTCTGGTTCATGGTTAAATTTTCAAGAGAAGTCCCTTAAGTCCAACAATGTACAAAGATCATCTTTATAGATATATAAAGCAAAGAATTGGAAAAGTAGGGATTATATTTAGGAAACACAAAGTAGGTCTGATTGGCTAGAGTTTGAGATGCATGAGAATAAATAGTAAGAATTAAGGCTGGGGGGCAGTTAGGTGGTACAGTGGATAGAGCACCGGCCCTGAAGTCAGAAGGACCTGAGTACAAATCCGGCCTCAGACCAAACACTTGACACTTACTAGCTGTGACCCCACGTAAGTTACTTAATCCCAATTGCCTTAAAAAAAAAAAGAATTAAGGCTGGAAAGATCACTTGACATTGAATTGTAGAATGGTTGCCTTGCCTTTCTGATCTTCCTTCTCTTCTGTCTTTCCATACAATGTAATATATTTGAAATATTACCGGACTGCAGTAGATCTGACCTGTAGTCATGACCCTCTTACTAACCAACTATATCTGTGGGTTGCAATTCCATATGGGGACATGACACACAGTTTAAGAAATGCTGAAGGGGTCACGAGTGGAAGAAGTTTAAGAAGCCCTGAATGACCTTGGACAAGTCAATTTACCTCTGTTTCTCCATTTATAAAATTAAGTACTTGCTCTTACTAAAGGTCATTCTAGCTCTAATATTATAGGAGTCTATTATCTACAAAAAGGAGTCTATATCTTTTGGTATACTGTTAGACTATGTCCCACACAGATCAATGGCCCTTTGGGGAAGGATCCAAGAAGAACTAGCTTGACTATTCACCATCTGCCAGTGTGACTAAGGTCCTATCAGCATTTTCACCTCAATTTGTCTGAAGTGGAACACGTTTTTCCTCAAATATGGCCTTTCTCCAAACTTCCTTATTTCCATTCATGGCACCATAATTCTTCCAGTAGCCCAGGTCTACTACTTTAAAGTCTCTGCTACTTTTTCCACTCCATCACCACATGTACCCTTAACTAATCACTTGTCCAATATTATTGATGTGGCTCTTTTCTAAACAGTTTTGCATATGAGTCCTCTCCTCTGCTCACATGGCTATCAGTTTAGGTAAACTTCATTAGAGCCTCAGGCTGTTCTAATTGCTCCCTTATTCTAGTCTTTCTCCCTTGCCAATCTATCCTCCACATGTCTATCAAAATAATCTTCATAAGGTAGAAGTCTAATTGTCACTCTCTTCTTGAAAAAATATTCTCTAGCACCCCTCTGTTACTGTATAAAATACTAGATTAGGATACAATACTAGTATTTCTAGGACAAAATGCAAGCTCTTCAAACTTGTGATTCTTGCCTACCTTTCCGATTCTCTTTCATATTGCTCCCCTCCTTGTGTCTGTTACAACCAAATTGTACTCTTAGATGTTCTCTGAACCTTCGATTTTCTGCCCCATGAATTCTAATACATTTTGTCCCTCATGCCTAGAATATACTCCTTCTTTATCTCTACCTTTCAAGATCCATAGCTTCCTTCAAAATTCATTTCAGGTAAGAGGCAGCTAGGTGGTGCAGCGGATAGAGCACCGGCCCTGAAGTCAGCAGGACCTGAGTTCAAATCCGGCCTCAGACCAAATATTTGACACTTACTAGCTGTGTGACCCTGGGCAAGTCACTTAACCTCAATTGCCTAAAAAATAAATAAAAGATTCATTTCAGGTAACATTTCCTTCATGCTACCTTTCCTAACCATCCCTAACCTTTCCCCTCCTGTTATTAGTGAGAGGCAACTGGATTAGGAGTCAAAACACATGTTCAAATTCTGAATCTGTTACTTAGCTGTGTGACCTTGGGCAATTCAGTTCACTGTTTAAATGCCTACAATATATCCAACATTGTGCTAGATACTGGTGGTACCAAGACAAAAAGAAAATCATCCTTTCCTTCAAGGAACTTATGGAATGATGGAAGAGAAGTGAAAAATATGTACATAGATATAAATAGAAAGTTATTTTGAGGTTGGAGGTCACTAACAACTGGGAAGAACTTAGAAACCATTTAAAGGAGGTGGCATTTAAACTGATCCTTGAAGGGCAGGTAGGGACTCCATATCAACATTTTTTAAACCTCAGTTTCCTTATTTGTAAACTTGGGGGTTTAGACTAAATGACCTTAAAGGTCCCTTGTAGCTCTCAATTAATGGTCCTATGATCTCTTGATTTACCTTGTACTTACTTATCTATATACATGTTTATTCTACCAATAAAATATAAACTCCCTGAGGGCAGGAAATGTTTTATTTTTAATCTTAATGTTTCCAATGACCAGCACAAAGTGTTAGGTACTTAAAGGAAAAGCCAATGTTTGGGTGTTCTGTACTACTTGAAGCATAGAAAAATGATTTGTCAATCTTAATTTCAAAAGTAATGGATATAAAGTCAAGTTCTTTCAAAGTTGCTGACTCAGTAGCTTAGCAAATAGCTAAATTGATTCATCGATCTTAAACATCATCTAGTCCCACCCTCTTATTTTCAAGGTGAAGAAAATGAGGCCATAAAAGGTAAAGCAATTAAGCAAACTGGTGGTAGAGGTGAGACTTGGACCAGGTGTCCTGACCTCTTCCACTACAACACATTGCCTTCTGTATTTTATGAGGATAAATGAAGAAATAAATTTTAAAATGTTTATTGTAACTTGTGATGAAACAAATTACATTTTTACTGTTAATTTCCCATTCGTTATTTTCCCCAATGTTCTATGTAAGGAGATACCATTTCTTTACCTGAAGAAGTTTATATATTAAGTGTTGCTTGTAGCAACACACTATTAGATAAGAACTTATATGTAGCCACACCCAATTTAGCTAAAGAAGTCAAATAGCTTGTGGGAGGAGAAGGGTATTCCTTAACAACACCAACAATAGTAATAATTGTAAGTAAGAAGAAGATGATGAGCTTTTGATTTGGGGAAGAGAGAGACTCTGGACTTTGATGCTTTAAAAGGCAAAAGTATAAAAATGCAATCTGGCTAAGGGGAATTACTTCAGAAACGGTTGAGAATATTTAAAGGAGTCCTTAAGCTGAAGGCATAACTGGAAGATGAAAGTAGTTAAAGGGACCTCAATGCCAAGTATACAAACTCTGGGTAGATTTTGATACCAGGCCAAGATTCAAAGAAACATAAAATTACGTCCTGATTAGAGTCTGAATATGACATTACTCTTAAGTAGTGATGCACAACATAGAAAACACAGTAAGAAAGATATGTAATTATTAATATCTTAGATTTTGTTTTAAAATTACTCTAGAACAGAAGTTCTTAACCTTTCTTATGTTATGTATCCATCCCTCTGACAATATATGGATCCCCTCCCCAGAATGATTTTAAATGTATAACATATGTAAGTTTGTAAAGCAAACCAATTATATTGAAATAGTTATCAGCTTTTTAAAAATTTTTAAAGTTCACAGACTACAGGTTAAGAACTCCTGCTCTAAAATATTTGGTTTACTGGTAAATTTAATTATTTTAATCCAGTGGCATTTGATTCAAATTTAGAAGGACCAAAAAGCACAATAATCTCTTCCAAGTCAAAATTTGCTTATGATTTATGACCTACCTGCACAATTCATACTATCATGAAATGCTTGTGTCACTTGGTGATGTCAGTAGAGTGAAAAAATGCTGGATTTGGAATTGGATAACCTGGGTTCTAATGCTGCTTTGCCACCTTTCTACCCACCCAAGTGACCTTGAACATGTAATTTAATTTCTGGGAACCTCAGTTCTTCATCTCTTAAATGAGAGAGTTGGAATGGATGCCTTCTGGATACCCTTCTAGGTAAATATCTATGTTCTTGTGATTTATGATATCAGTATTTCCTTCTCTTACAAGGCATTTGATCTCTTCCCAGAATTACTCACTTTATGCCTCTGGAATTAGGATTAGGATGGGAATATACTAGACCTGGGAGCCCACGTTATTTATCTTTGCATGTATCAACTTTCTTTTGGAAATTCAAGAAACTACATTAGCCAGAGAACTACAAATGCAAAGGACCATAGACCCTCACCAAAGATCTTTACTTTGCTATGGATTTTCTGGGCAATTACTTTGCACATTGTCTTGACCTTCGAGTCTTTACAATAAAGGTATTGTTGTTTGTCCCATTTTACCTGGGGTTGTCTTGAAAATGGAAAAAGATGCTCAGTATAGAAAGGGCTTCATCTTGGTTGGAGGCAAAGGATTCTACAAATGCCACGATTTCTTTGCAGCTCTCTAAGTAGTTGGAAGTTGGAAGTTTCCTGGCTAGATGAAGACAGAAAACTGCTGGCGTAACATTTAAGGTTGTATGTAACAATAAATTGACACATCTAATGTGGAGACAGTTCAAATATTACTAAAGGTTTAGGGCACATTTGAAAAAAAAAATCCATAATAAGAACCTATTTGCCGTCTGATACTTTCTTGTGAAAAGCTAAAGAAATTCACTTGTAAACTTCTTAGTCTTCTAAAAATTTAAAAACCACTATTTTTCAGAAATCAGTTCCTCTAGAAACTTAAAAAAGAGTGAATACCTGGAGTGTCCATTGCAGTACAACGGAAAAGTTTAATGCAAACTGAATTAACCAATGGTCTATTCTGGATGTAGGCACCAGAACCTCAGTGTATGAATTAATAAATTCTCTGAAATTTTATTTTATAAAAAAAAAAGTGTGCATTTGACATAACGAAGCAGAG